ATATATATATAAATATAAAGGCGTTTTAAACCCTTCCCACACTCTTGCAATATTCTAAACAATGTTTCTAAATGCTAAACATTCTAAAAGAGCACAGACTGTCTTGATTTCAGCTCTGTGCCTCCTCTGCTCTTTGCCACATGCAAGCGCTCTTGACCACGCCCACTTCTCCACTCTGCACGAAGAACAGCTGATCAGCTGCATCAGGAAGTTTAGCCTGCAGTGTGGGCAGCACAAAGATGCAGCAGGTGCTAATTAATTTAAAATATTTTATTTTGAATAAAAATTCCATGCCGATCATGCGGTTCATCCATCCATAAGCCAATTTTGCGTCATGTCCAATCTTATTTTGAAAAACCGCGATAAAGCGAGTCCGCGATAAAGCGAGTCCATGATCAACGAACCGCCAAGTAGCGAGGGACTACTGTATAAACAAACATATTCCACATTTTTTTAGGCTCCGAGCCTATAAAGGGGCTCAGAGCCGGTCCTTGATGCAATCTCACCTCCACCTTGAAGCTATTTGTCACTCCTACAGCACATCTCACCACTGTCCTGCTGTCCTCATACATGTCCTGTACCAGTCTAACATACTTCTCTGCCACTCCAGATTTCCTCATGCAATGCCACACCTCCTCTCTTGGCACTCTGTCATATGCTTTTTATAAATCCACAAAGACACAATGGAGTTCTTTCTGACCCTCCCTGTACTTCTCCTTCAGCATCATCAAAGCAAAGATGGCATCTGTGGTGCTCTTTCTTGGCATGAAACCATACTGCTGCTCACAGATAGTCACCGCTCGTCTAAGTCTAGCTTCCACAACTCTCTCCCAGATCTTCATCGTGTGGCTCATCAACTTAATTCCCCTGTAGTTGCTACAACTCTGTACATCACTTTTGTTCTGAACAATGGGCACCAGCACACTTCTTCTCCATTCCTCAGGCATTTTCTCACCTTCATATATGCCATTGAATATTTGAGTCAAAAACCTCACTGCCATCTCTCCAAGACATTTCCAAACCTCCACTGATATGTCATCAGGTCTTACTGCCTTCCCCTTCATTCTTTTCAGAGCTTTCCAGACTTCACCCTCACTAATCTTTCCTTCTTCTTGGTCCACAGTTTTATGATCTCTACTCTTCTTTCTCTTTCATTCTCTTCATTCATTAGCTCCTCAAAGTACTCCTTCCATCTTCCAGTCACACTCTCCTCACTTGTTAAAACATTACCATTTCTATCTTTAATAAGCCTAACCTGCTGCACATCCTTTCCAGTCTGATCCCTCTGTCTTGCCAATCGGTACAAGTCCTTCTCACCCTCTTTAGTGTCCAGTCTCCCATACAACTCATCGTACGCCCTCTGCTTTGCCTTAGCTACTTCCCTCTTTGATCTACGTCCCATCTCCTTATATTCCTGTCTCCTCTCTTCAGTCCTCTCACTGTCATAATTATTCTTGGCTAATTTCTTTCTTTGAACGGCGTCCTGCACTTCACTATTCCACCATCAGGTTTCCTTATCTTCCATTCTCTGTCCAGATGACACACCAAGTACCTTCCTACCTGACTCTAATTACTGTTGCTGTAGTAGCCCAGTCATTTGGAAGCTCTTTCTTACTACCCAGATCCTTTAACAGCTCCTCTCTGAATTTCTCACAACATTCTTTCTTCTTCATCTTCCACCATTTGGTCTTCTTCTCTGATTTTACTCTTTTTCTCTTCTTCACAACAACAGTTATTTTACACACAACCATCCAATGCTGTCTGACCACGCTCTCCCCTGCCACAACCTTACAGTCTCCAATCTCCCTCAGGTTTCCTCTTTTAAAAAGAATGTAGTCGACCTAAGAAAACATGGTATTCCATTCCATTGCTACGCCGATGACTGTCAGATCTACCTGCCACTGAAACCAGCCAGTGCTTGTTCCGTCCACCCTCTCCTCAAATGTCTGGACGACATTAAGACATGGATGGCTTCAAATTTTCTAAGTTTTAACGACCAGAAGACTGAAGTCATTGTCTTTAGCCCTAGCTCAGCTGCCGCCTCTTATTCTGTGAACCTGGACTCCCTTCAGCCTTATCTGAAGCACTCTGTTAAAAACCTCGGAGTGGTTTTTGACTCGGATTTTAAGTTCGACAAACAGATCAGTTCGGTTCTGCAGAGAAGCTTCTTCCAACTGCGGCAGGTAGCTAAGCTCAAGCCAGTGCTGTCTAGACACGACCTTGAGACACTAGTCCATGCATTCATCACAACCCGCCTGGACTATTGTAATTCACTGTATGCTGGGGTCAGCCAGGCCTCTATCTCACGGCTACAGCTCGGCTTTTAACTGGTACACCGAGGTATGAGCACATCACACCAGTTCTGTCCTCCCTACACTGGCTTCCTGTGAGAACTAGGATTGATTTCAAAATTCTCCTCCTGACCTATAAGTGCCTAAATGGCCTCGCACCCATCTACCTCTCTGAGCTACTGGAACCATATGTTCCCTCTCGGGCTCTGAGATCATCCGATCAGCTGCTTTTGGTTGTTCCAAAAACACGACTGAAGCTCCGAGGAGATCGGGCGTTTTCAGTCATGGGTCCCAAACTGTGGAACAACCTACCCCCCAACATTAGGCATGTCACCTCCCTTCCTGTGTTCAAATCCCTGCTAAAAACATATCTGTTCTCTCTGGCGTTTCATACTGTGTGAGTTGATTTAGTATATCTTGTTCCATGTCTTCATTTTAATGCTGTTGTTTTAATTTTTTAAGGTATATTCTTACTGCTTTTTATTTCTTAGTGTTACCATTAGTGTTAAGCACTTTGATAACAGTCTATCTGTTTTAAATTGTGCTCTATAAATAAATATGACTTGACTTGACTTGACTTGACCTGTGTACTCCTTCCTTCACTCTTATAGGTCACTCTATGTTCCTCCCTCTTTTGGAAATAGGCATTGTCTTTAGTCATTTCCATTCTCTTGGCAAAATCCACCACCATCTGTCCTTCCTGGTTTCTTTCCTTGACACCAATCCTACCCATCACTTCCTCATCCCCTCTGTTTCCTTCACCAACATGTCCATTCAGGTCTGCTCCGATCACCACTCTCTCCTCCCTGAGAATACTCTCTATCACTTCATCCAGATCTTTCCTAAATGTATCTTTCTCCTCCCCATCACATTCAACCTGTGGAGCATAACCACTGACAATGTTTAGCACCACACCTTCTAATTCTACCTTCAGGCACATCACCCTATCTGACACTCTCTTCACCTTCTACTACATTATTTGCCAACTCCTCCTTCAGGACCACCCCTACTCCATTTCTCTTTCTATCCACACCATGGTAAAACGTTTTGAACCCTGCTCCAATGCTGTGAGCCTTGCTGCCCTTCCACTTGGTCTCTTGAACACATAGAATATCTACCTTTCTTCTCTGCATCATGTCAGCCAGCTCTCTACCTTTGCCTGTCATTGTCTTCACATTTAGAGTTGTAACCCTCAGTCCTACATTCTTCACTTTTCTCTTCTCCCTCTGTCTCCTGACACGTTTCCCTCCTCGTAGTCTTCGACTAACAGCAGCACAATTTCCACCGGCACCATTTTTGTCAACAGCACCGGTGGTGGTCGTTGTTAACTCAGGCCTCGACCGATCCGGTATGGTTTCGCTTTGATGAACTCGCATTATGGTTTTGGCAAAAGTGTTTTACATCAGATTCCCTTCCTAACACAACCCTCACCATTTACCTGGGCTTGGGACCGGCAAAAGAGATACATTGGCTTGTGCTCCCTAGTGGCTGGTTTTGGCAAATATACTTTTTGATGTTTGTTTTTATAAATTCTTCGTAAGTTGCAGGAGGAGCAGTGAATTAAAAATTGTGACAGAGGGTTTTAATGCTAATGAATTGGCCCCTTAATAATAAGAAAAATGTAAAAATTTTGAATTGCATGTCATATTAACAAGAAACTTTTGAATGTGAATAAGCTGGTTTTTAATCCCATTTACCATTTTCTTTATTTCATAGAGAGGTACTGTATATATTTCACCTGTTAATTTAACACAAATACTATGATTTGATGGTAAATGGGCTGTACTTATATAGCACCTTTCTACCATATTGAGATACTCAAAGATCTTTACACTACAATTTGTGTCCTCATTTACCCATTCATACAGCACTCTACTAGATCTATACAAAGCTAAGTGAATTTTAAAGAGACTAGTGCTTTAGATCACATTCATACACCGATGGGACACACATAGGAGGCAATGAGGGGTTCACTGTCTTGCCCAGGGACACTTCGGCATGTGACTGCTGGTGGAATCAATTCCCCAATTCTTGCATTGGAGGATGACTGTACTAACCACTCAGCCATGGTGTTATGCAAGAATTTGTCTTGTTCAAAATATAATAGTGAGTGTGACTGAAATGCTGGTAGTGCTGTTTATTAGGGTAATAATGATGTTTGTTAATGTCTTAGAGCTGAAGGAGATGACTCTGAAGGTTCTCAACTGTATGAGCAGCTTTATTTCTATTCCTGCCATTATTCAACAAATACTGCAGGTGAGTGCTACTGTTAACACATGCTCTGTTTATTTACTTTTAGACAGTTTGTAGTATTGTTTATTGGATGCTGCAGGTTCTTGAAACAAACAAAAAAAGATACCTTGACTTTTAAAATGATTATTAAATCAAATCTGCATTTCTCTTGGCTGTTTAAATGAAATGCCTTCTGGTCATTGTGAGTTTAGCATCCTTATTGCCTGAATAATGACGCTCAATTGAGTGAAACACTACCTTCAACCAGACAGCAGGAGGTTAAACTGCACATGAAGAGGGGCTTGAGAAACCACTAACAATCCAGAAGACCTTTAAACTAACTAGAGTTTTTGTGAAGCTGAAATAAGGAGCTGTTTGCAGATGAGTGTAAAGTTAGTGATAGCATCAAAGACAGACATTATAGCAGTGTTGATTCCTACACATAGTTAATATAATAAAAACAAATTATTGTGTTTATGTGCTTGTGAAGGGAATAAATTTTTACTGAGCTACCGCTTCCTTATAAATTCAATGTTATTTTACTGTATTAATAACCTTTATAATCTAAAAAAAGTTAAATCTGGTCCTCTGGACATTCAAAAAAAAAAAAAAAAGTAGGAATGTTTCGTTTTTCATCCGAAAGATTTCCTCAGTCTGAGATGCTGTATTCAGCTCAGTCTTATAAATAGCACACTCTCGCAGTGGATCAACCAGTTTGCTGCTGACAACCAAAACAAGCTGCAAAGTCATACAGTATAACGGTGCAAGTAGGATGAATTCATATGAATAAGTATTTCAAAGGTAGTAATATAAGCTTAAATGTTGTGATATTATAATGCTTTGGCATCACTTATTTTGGAATGACAGTGCCAGTGGATAGATGGTTATCACCTCCCCCATAAGAAACCTTGAAAATGGTTTCCTTTCTGTGAGACTGTTAGCCGCCTGATTTCAGTTCTGAAAAACTAAGACCAGGGGAAGGGAAGGGGCAGGCCCCTGATGAGTTTTCTTCAAAACCAACCTTTTCCTTTCAAGAATTCAGCACAGGTCAGAAACAGGACAAGACATGAATAAGTTCTGTACTTGTAATGTGTTGACTCTCTGTGGGTCTGACTGTTCTCCACAGCTTTGTAATATATTTGATGAAGACTACACCTGATCGATTGTGAATCAGTTTATTCTACGACAGTGTTTTTGTGTCACTGATATAAAAAATGTGTTTCAGAAATAATATTTTATTCATCTTGTTAAGTGCATGTGTTACATGTGAGACCATGTGCCTGTCTGTCCATCAGGATCCAGTTTACGGGAAAGGGAAGCTGGCAGAGATTCAAGGCCTCATTCTGGGAATGCTGGACACTTTTACCTATGAGCAGGTAAATATGTGTGTTTATCCTTTTATACACAGGCATTCATCATTGATACGTAAAATTATTTGCTGCTGATCAAGTGTATTCATGATTAACTGATCATCATCAGTGTGAACACCTCTAATAACAGGAATTTTAGTAGGTTGCTGCTTTAAAACATTCAGGTGTGTGTTAACACAATGCCAAGCAGGTAAGACATCAGCAATGTATTTTCTAACTGGAAAAGGTTTATAGTCATTTCAAAATAATTTGGAGTCTAACTTTATACAGCGAGAAAATTCTTCACAAGTTAAAACCATTAGACAGCTGCCAGTCTTCCCGAGAAGGGGCATCTCAGCAATCTCACCCCAAGATCAGACCATACAGTGCTCAAAGATATATCAAAAATGCAAGAGCTCAATCACAGACTCTACAGGCCTTAGTTAGCAGGTTCAATTTTAAAGTTCATGACATACAATAGGAAAGGATTAAGCAAACATAAGCTTGTTTGTAAAGATTGCAAGGAGAACAATCTTTTCTCTAAAGAAGAATTTGGCAGCACACATTGGATTTGCATCTGAATGAACCACACACCTTTGTAGATATATTTATTTATAATGCACGTCACATTTGTTGAAAACTAAATAGCATATCTGCCCAAACGTATACCAACAGTCAGGCACGTTGGTGGAGGGGTGATGATTTGGGTCCTTGCAGCCATTGACTCAACCATGAACTCCTCTGTAGACCAAAGTATTCTGGAAACATGAGGCCATCTGTCTGACAGCTGAAGTTTGAACCAAACAGACTCATGATGTAACAGGACAATGATATGAAGCTCAGCAGAAAATTTACAGTAGAATGGTTACAAAATAAAATAATCAATATGTTTTAATGGTCATACAAACACCTGCAAACCTCAATGAATTGAAGCAGGTATGGGTCACGATTCCTCCACAACCATGTAAGAGCCTGATCAAAACAGAGAACAACTAATTTAGCTTATTGTTGTTATTGGTGGTTCTGCAAACTTCAGTCACGGGTTGGATGTAGTTTTTCACACAGCTTTTCAATTTAGCTTTTATTTAATTATTCTTGACATGATAGAATTTGTTTAAATATTTCCTTAGAGACAAAATCAGAGAAACTTTATTAACCACACATTATGTACATTAATGAGAAACTATTCAGTTCCGTTTATTTACCAGTATATAGCGCCGCCAAGTCACAACAGAAGTTACCTCAGGGCACTGAACAAATACCGTACATTCATATACATACAATTCAATTGAGTCCTTATTTTGTCACAGTCTCCCATCCTGAGCAAGTTAAAAAAAATTCAATTCAATTCAATAATACTTTATTAATCCCAAAGGGAAATTATTTGTTGTTGTAACTCGTTATCTTCGTTTCATTAAGAGATGTTATAGATACTGATGGCTGTAGGCAGGAAGGATCTCTTATAAAGATCCATCCTACAGTGGATCCTAAGAAACTGGCTGCAGATGCCATCCGATCCGTCCACCCAGACTCGGCTGACCTCTCGGTTCCCCCGGGCTGTAGGAACGCCCGAATGCCGGGCAGAACTCCTCCCAGAGCGATGGCCACTCCTCCCAGCAGTCTGCCGAACTCCTCCTCACTGCAGACAGACAACTGTAGGTGCTGAGGGACGATCCTGTCCTTCCGCTGTCATGAGCCGTGTTTCCTGCTAGTTCCAGGATCTCAGTGGTCAGGCACTCAAGCACAGCTGGCAGGTAGATGAGAATGCGTCCACAGAACATCCTTTTCAACTCATTTGAGATTTGGGGCTGCAGTTGAGATATTATTAGAGCTTTTGAGATGTTAATCAGCTGCTGTTGTTGTAGAAAACTGCATTGTTGCCATGGTTACGCATCATAACAAATGTCCAAAACTAAAAAAGTTTCAGTAAAAATCCTTCCAGCTGCACAGCATCCGATACCAGAGGAAACAATCATCCAAAAAATGTGACACATCCAGAAAAAGAGGAATTAAAGTTTCCAAAAGCAAAATCTCAGAATGAAAGTAACAGAGCTGCTCCAACATGCAGCCACCTTGAGCGACGCAATTCTAGAAGTGTAAGTTAGTTATAAGTATAAGTAAGTTCCATTTCAAGTAGGTTTTATTATCATTCACACCACATGTGGTACATGAGGTGGAACAAAATTGTGTATACAGGGACCCAGTTACATCCAACAGCAGTAAAAAATATAAATTGTAAAAAGAAACAGTAATAAGGATCTAAGATATAAACTAAGAAATATGCTAAACACTAACAGTACAAAACAATACATCGAACAACAGCAGCACGAACATGAGTCTGTGTGAGCAGATGAGTACAAATGAACACAGCAGCATGAAATAATCAGCAGCATGAGATCAGCAGCACATATCAACAATCAAGTGACATTACAGTGATTTTTTTCGCAGTGATTATTCTGGTTAGAGATTCATGAGTCTAACAGACTCAGGGTAGAAGCTGTTCCTCAGTCTAGTGGTTCTACACTTAATGCTCCTCAACCTCCTTCCTGAGGGGAGTGGGGCAAAAAGTGTGTGTGCTGGGTGAGTGGGGTCCTTCATGATGCAGGTGGCCCTCTTCCTGCATCTGGAGGTGTAGATGTCTGTGATGGTGGGGAGACTGACTCCAACAGACTTCTGTGCAGCCTTCACCACTCTCTGCAAAGCTTTTCTTTCTGCAGCTGTGCAGCCTCCATGCCACAAGGCAACAGTGGAAAGAAAAAACTCCCTCATAACAGAAAGAACCCTCCAGCAGAACCAGGCTCAGGACAAGCAGCCATCTGCTTCATCATCATGTTTTTATGTAGAAGAATTTTAAATCCTACTCTGATTTTCATTGAAGAGAGACTAAGACAGACAATTGGTTGTGTTTCCTTTTGGTTCCTGTCATGTTTCCTGAACCATTTCGGAATAATTAGAGGCTTTTCTGAGAATGTTTTCTGTTTCTGCATAAAAGGAATTGGAGTAAATGGGCTGTGTTTATATAGTGCCTTTATCTAATCAAAATACTCAAAGCGCTTCACAATCTGTGCCTTCATTTACCTCCACACACACATTCATACAGCACTCTACTAGATCTCTACAAAGCTAATCTGAATCTGTAGACTAATCAGAGCTTAAGATCACATTCATACACTGATGGGACACACATCAGAGGCAGTCAGGGGTTCAGTGTCTTGCCCAGAGACACTTCAACATGTGACCGCTGGTGGAATCAAACCCCCACCTCTGTCACTGGAGGATGACCGCTCTAACCACTCATCCACAGCTGATCCAAAGTAGCCTATAAATAACTAATGTTTCCTCAGAACAAAGGAATCTGACTGTTTAAACAGAATAACACGTTGCTTTTTGTTACAAACATGGATTTTTTTTAAGGTGAAAATACTCTTGTCATTTTTAGACATTACTGGAAACCACAACCAGTCTGCTGAACCATGACCTCCACTGGTCCTTGGCTCATCTCCGCTCGGCTGTCACCAGGGGGCTCCACCCACGACAAGAATACTGCACCATCTGCCTGCAGCACTACAAGAGGAGGCAGGACCCAGCTGAGGAGATCATTGTGTTCAGGTAAGTTTCATGACTGAAGCTCGTTCAGCTCTTCCAATGAAACCAAACCATGGCACTAACTGCAGCACTCAAATGAAGTTTAGTTTAGTTCTAGTGCCTCACAGATCTGTATTTTTCCAGCTGTGGCCACCCGTATCACCTGCAGTGCCTGCAGCAGAAGGACTGTGGGAGGGGTGCTGCTTCTGAGGCGCAGCAGCAGTGGAGATGTCATAAATGTTCCTCCAGTCATAGAGGAAGAGGCCCTTCTGCTAAAGCCAGCAGGAGCCGCAACGCATCTCTGGCTCAGGTTTGTGTGTTTGCCTCAGTTAGGAGGAAAAACTCACAAAAAGGCTTTTTAAACTGAACTTACTCTCTTCAAAAGCCATAAACTGATTAAAACTGATGACTGTTTTAGTTCATTACAGTCTTTGTAATAAATTAAATTATAATAATTCATTTTTATTTAATTGTTTAGGACTGTGTTGAGTTGTTTTATTTTGTTTATTTTGTTTTTGGCTCCTGTTCAGTTAACATAAACACCTAATGTTTAAGGATGAAAATAAAAAATTGTCACGTACTCTCCATTACCAGATTTGTGACACAGAGATTTAAGAATCAGACAATTTTTTGTCCAGTTATTTATTTCATGAATACAAGTTGGTTTTTACCTAAATGCTGCATTAAACCTCATTTACATGTGAACAAACTATGTTGGCACAGAGCGATCAAGGTTCTTTATTGTCATTCACATCACACGTGGTACATGAAGTGGAACAAAATTGTGTACTCAAGGTCCCAGTTACATCCAAAAATAGCAAAAATATAACGTATAAAGAGAGACAGTATATAAGGATCTAAGACATACACATACATAATAATCTAAATACTGTATATTTAACAGCAGCCCCAACATGTGATGTGATGATGTGATTTAGTTGGCAGCACAGTTTGAAGCACAAATCTTCCTTTGCAAGGGTTTTGTGAATTAGACCAATTCTTTAAATCCTTATTCACACCCACAAATAACACACTCATTGCAAATTTAGGTTTCATGTCTAAAATTTTTCCTCTTGTTACTCTAATAAGATTTACTGCTTTTATTGGGAGGTTTATCACAGTTGTTGTTTTTATTTAGGACACAAATACAGTTCTGTTCATTAACATATGCTGGAGTTGTTTCATCGTTGCCACTTTCTTTCTACCTCAGACTCGTGTTGCATCAGGACTTGACAAAGGGGCTGAGCCTAACAAGAAAAAGGTAAAGATAAAACATTGTGTTTAACATTTAATAATCGGACACAGTATCTCACATTTTCTAACTTTTTATGTTTTCACTTTACAAAACTTTTTATTTTTATCAAATCAGTTTGCCAATAATTTAAACATTATTTTATTTTAAAGCATATTGTTACTGTAAATAAACAGAACAAAAATATAAACGCAAAATTTTTGTTTTTGCTCCCAATTTTTCATGAGCTGAACTCAAAGATCTAAGACTCTACGTACACAAAGGCATTTTTCTCTGAAATATTGTTCACAAATTTGTGTAAACCTGTGTCAGTGAGCACTTCTCCTTTACGGAGATTCCATCCACCTCACAGATGTGGCAGATCAAGATGCTGATTAGACAACATGATTATTGCACAGGTGTGTCTTAGGCTGACCACAATAAAAGGCCACTCTAAAATGTGCAGTTTCATCACACAGCACAATGCTATAGATGTAACAAGTTTTGAGAGCGTGTGTAAACGGCTGCTGACTTGACAGTTGTCCAAAATATGACCATTGACACCTTGCACAAGGAGGGCAAGACACAAAAGGTCATTGCTCAAGAGGCTGGCTGTTCACAGAGCTCTGTGTCCAAGCACATTAATAGAGAGGTGAAGGGAAGGAAAATAAATGGAAAAAAGTGTACAAGCAATAGGGATAACCACACCCTGGGGAGGATGGTGAAACAAACCCCATTCCAAAATGTGGAGGAGATTCATAAAGAGTGGACTGCATGCAGCTCATTGCACTGCAAGTCAGTGCTTCAAGAACCACCACGCACAGATGTATGCAAGACATGGGGTTCAGCTGTCGCATTCCTTGTATCAAGCCACTCTTGAACAAGAGACGCCATGAAAAGCATCTCGCCTGGGCTAAAGACAAAAAGGACTGGACTGCTGCTGAATGGTACAAAGTTATGTTCTCTGATGGAAGTAAATTTTGCATTTCCTTTGGAAATCAAGATCCCAGAGTCTGGAGGAAGAGAGGAGAGGCACAGAATCCATGTTACTTGAGGTCCAGTGTCAAGTTTCCACAGTCAGTGATGGTTTGAGGTGCCATGTCATCTGCTGGTGTTGGTCCACTGTGTTTTCTGAGGTCCAAGGTCAACGCAGCCGTCTACCAGGAAGTTTTAGAGCACTTCATTCTTCCTGCTGCTGACCAACTTTATGGAGATGCAGATTTCATTTTCCAACAGGACTTGGCACCTGCACACAGTGCCAAAGCTACCAGTACCTGGTTTAAGGACCATGGTATCCCTTTTCTTAATTGGCCAGCAAACTCACCTGACCTTAACCCCATAGAAAATCAATAGGGTATTGTGAAGAGAAAGATGCAATATGCCAGCCCCAACAATTCAGAAGAGCTGAAGGTCACTATCAGAACAACCTGGGCTCTCATAACACCTGAGCAGTGCCACAGACTGATCGACTCCATGCCACGCCACATTGCTGCAGTAATCCAGGCAAAAGGAGCGACAACTAAGTATTGAGTGCTATACATGCTCATACTTTTCATGTTCATACTTTAAAGTTGGCCAACATTTCTAAAAATCCTTTTTTTTAATTGGTCTTAAGTAATATCCTGATGCATGCTAAATATAGAAAAATCCTAAAGAGTTCAATTTGGTCCTCTTTTGAGAGGAGGTAGAAAAGAGAGCCTTGACGTCTTTTCAGGGACACCACCAAGTCATTGGTTCAGGTATGTTGACGACACCTGGGTTAAAATTAAATCTCAGGAAGTCCAACATTTTACTGACCACATCAACTCTGTGGATAAATACATCAAGTTCACACGAGAAGATGTAAAAAATGGCAGGTTGGCTTTCTTGGACTGTGAGGTCTCAGTCTCTGATAGAGGACATTTGCAAACTGAGGTGTACCACAAACCCACCCACACAGACCAGTATTTGCAGTTTGACTCCCATCACCCTTTGGAGCACAAGTTGGGAGTCATCAGGACTCTGTATCACAGAGCAGACAGCGTCCCCACTAACTCAGGAGCCAGGCAGAAGGAGAAATCCCACACAAGACAGGCTCTGGAGCAATGTGGATATCCTAACTGGGCCTTCCTGAAAGCAGAGAAGAAACCCAAACAGGACTCCAGTCAGCTATCAGGTGAAAAGGAGGAACCCAGACCCAGACCAGTGGTCATTCCGTATGTTGAGGGAGTTTCAGAGAAACTGAGATGTTTATTTTCTAAACATAACGTCCCAGTGGCTTTTAAACTCCAAAATACATTACGGCAAAGACTGGTTCATCCCAAAGATCCAGTCCCCTGGCACAAACAGAGTAATGTTGTGTATGCTGTTCAGTGTCAGGAGGGTGATCAGTCTTACATCGGGGAAACTAAACAGCCACTGGCCAAAAGGATGGCCCAGCACAGAAGATCAACATCATCAGGCCAGGACTCTGCGGTCTACACTCATCTCCAGGCCAGCGGTCACTCTTTCAGGGATGAAGATGTTCACATCCTGGACAGAGAGGAACGATGGTTTGAGAGAGGAGTAAAGGAGGCCATCTTTGTGAAAAGAAACCGTCCATCATTAAACAGGGGTGGAGGCCTCCGTGTTCAACTGTCCCCCTCTTACAATGCTGTGATTGCTAGTATCACTCAGCCCTCTCTGATTAGCAAACAGCCATCAGTGTGCTAATGATCCATAGTTAGGCTGATGGTCCTTCTTGAGCATGTGAGCAGCTGGTTTTGGTTGTCAGCAGCAAACTGGTTGATCCACTCTGAGAAGGTGCTATTTAAGAGACTGAGCTGAATACAGCACCTCAGACTGAGGAAGTCTTTCGGATGAAAGACGAAACGTTTTTACTTTTTTTTGCTTTGTTTGTTTGTTTGTTTTTTTGAATATCCAGAGGACCAGATTGAACTTTTTTGGGTCTTAAGTAATATTCTAATTTTCTGAGATACTGAATTTGAGAGTTTCATTAGTTGTCAGTTATAATCATCAACATTAAAAGAAATATTGAAATATATCAGTCTTTGTGTAATGAATGAATATAATATACAAGTTTCACTTTTTGAATGGAATTACTGAAATAAGTCAACTTTTTCATGATATTCTAATTTTATGACCAGCACTTGTAGTGCCAATTTCTCTGAACGTGGACATTCCTGCAGTCAGCATGCCATTTACACACTCCCTCAAAACTTGTTACAGCTATAGCATTGTGCTGTGTAATCAAACTGCACATTTTAGAGTGGCCTTTTATTGTGGTCAGCCTAAGACACACCTGTGCAATAAATCATGCTGTCTTATCAGCGTCTTGATCTGCCACACCTGTGAGGTGGATGGATTATCTCGAAAAAGGAGAAGTGCTCACTGACACAGATTTCCCGGGTACACAAATTTGTGAACAATATTTCAGAGAAAAAGGCTTAGAGGTTCAGCTATTGAAAAATGAGGACATAAACAAAAGTGTTTTTATATTTTTGTTCCTATACAGGTCCTTCTCAAAAAATTAGCATATTGTGATAAAGGTCATTATTTTCCATAATGTAATGATAAAAATGAAACTTTCATATATTTCAGATTCATTGCACACCAACTGAAATATTTCAGGTCTTTAATTGTTTTAATACTGATGATTATGGCATACAGCTCATGAAAACCCAAAATGCCTGTCCCAAAAAATGAGCATATCATGAAAAGGTTCTCTAAACAAGCTATTAACCTAACCATCTGAATCAACGACGTAACTCTAAACACCTGCAAAAGATTCCTGAGGCTTTTAAAAACTCCCAGCCTTGTTCATTACTCAAAATCGCAATCATGGGTAAGACTGCCGACCTGACTGCTGTCCAGAAGGCCATCATTGACACCCTCAAGCAAGAGGGTAAGACACAGAAAGAAATTGCTGAATGAATAGGCTGTTCCCAGAGTGCTGTATCAAGGCACCTCAGTGGGAAGTCTGTGGGAATGGAAAAGTGTGGCAGAAAACACTGCACAACGAGAAGAGGTGACCGGACCCTGAGGAGGATTGTGGAGAAGGGCCGATTCCAGACCTTGGGGGACCTGCGGAAGCAGTGGACTGAGTCTGGAGTAGAAACATCCAGAGCCACCGTGCACAGGCGTGTGCAGGAAATGGGCTACAGGTGC